ATTCCTTTGCCGGCGTGGAAGGGAAATTTAAAGGCAAAAAGGAAATTGGGTTTGGGCAAAATGAGAAATGTTTTCATTTTGGTTCAATTTGCACCCCCCCCCCCAAAAAAAAATAATCTCAGGGAAAGATCCTTTTTGACTGTTTTTGTTCCACTGGGAAACAGGGGGAAAGTAAGGAAAACGATGGGAAATTTTTGAATAGGTGAAGAAATAGATGTGGAAAATAGAGGGGAAATAATAGTTATATGAAATATATTAAAGATATAAAAGAAATATATGAAAAATAATATATATATATGAAATATATCAAATATATATGGAAAATAAAAATTATATGAAATATGTATAAAATATATGAAATGCATGAAAACATAAATGAGGAAAATGAAACTGCTTTTTGATCTGCCCAGTTTTTGAAAATGGATTTGGAATAAAGTTTTTCCAGTCCTTGGGAATCTCCCATAAAGGACTCCTGGGGATTAAAAATAAATAGAAAAAAGGCTATTTTTTTCCCACTGAAAACCCCAAACTGTCACAAGTTTGGCCCCCAGTGTCCCTCTGGGCTGTGAATGCTGATTTTCCAAGATTGTTGGAACTGTGAGGGGTTGGGGTTTGGAGCATCCTGGTCTATGGAAGGTGTCCCTGCCCCTGGCATGGGGTGGGACTGGATGGGATTTAAGGTCCTTCCCGACCCATTCCATGATTCTCTGTCTCTCCCTCCCCTCAGTGCGATCCCTACGTGAAGATTTCAGTGGGAAAGAAATCCATCAACGACCAGGAAAATTACCTGCCCTGTACCCTGGAGCCTGTCTTTGGGAAGTGAGTGTGGATTCACTTTGGGATCCATGGGATTTTCTTATGTCATGTTCAGGGATTTTTGCTGGATGAGCCAGAGCTTCCCATTCCAACCTGCACTCAAGGTTGGATGAGGATTGGAGCAACCTGGGATAGGGGAAGGTGTCCCTGCCCATGGCAGGGGGTGGAATCAATGGGATTTACAGTTCCTTCCATCCCAAACCATTCCATGGTTCTGGAGCCAGGCTGGGAGAGCTGGGGGGGTTCCCCTGGAGAAGAGAAGGCTCCAGGGAGAGCTGAGAGCCCCTGGCAGGGCCTAAAGGGGCTCCAGGAGAGCTGGAGAGGGACTGGGGACAAGGCATGGAGGGACAGCACACAGGGAATGGCTTCCCACTGCCAGAGGGCAGGGACAGATGGGATATTGGGAAGGAATTGCTGGCTGGGAGGGTGGGCAGGCCCTGGCCCAGGTTGCCCACAGAAGC